AAACAGGAACATCAATCTCTTAAAAGAAGTAATAACTGTGTACACTTTCCTTTAGCAAAATGGTTTTTTGTGTGTTTTGTTTTTTTTTTTTTTAAACATGGTTAAGGAAATAAAGAATATACTTCAACTGAACTGCATTGAGATTCTCATTCACCAGTCAAGAAAATAAAACCCTCCCAAATGCTGCCTGGCTACAAGCAATGAAAATGTGAAATAAAAAAATTCTTGTTATTATTTTTAAAACATGTAAAAAGTTCAGATTTCATTGCAAAGTGTGTTTCTTACCATGCCTTTTCCATCTGTGCCCTCGGATAGACATGCTAGTTACAGCATTTCTTGATATTCTAGATGAAGTAGGTGTAATTTCAACCTGAATGCATCTTGTACCTTCTTTACTAGATTTCATGGCACCCTGAGGCAGTGAAGCTTTTATTGCATTAGCAACCTAGAGCAGAAGAGATGCAGTTAAGTTTTGAACACAAAGATCCAAATTTTAGAAGAATCCTGTCAGGGAATCTTACTACTTCAAGAAGAACGCTGTGTACAATTCCAATTTAAGGTCAAAAATGCACACTGGCTTTCTTGTGCAGGTTATAAAGAGTGCTGGCTGCAATTAGCTCTCAGAACTAATACTTGCCACTTTCAAAAAAGAAAGTTTCCAGTTTAAAAGATGTGGCTATTGTTTCAGAATCCTTCTGTGCTATTACCTAAGTTCTGAAGACTTAGAAGTGTTCACAGGAAGGATTTCCTAGACTAAAAGCTCTACTCAACAGAATGTTGAAATACAACACCTACCAGCAGAGGTTCTGGATACAGTTCAAGCTGTGCTCTATACAAAACGTCATCCATAGCTTTACGAGCCAGATCCCATTCTCCATTATAACTGCAAAGGTAAATATTTATGTAGTAAGATGAACCTTCTTGGTCACCTAACCTTCACAGACCTAGTGTTCCTTGAGAGCTCAATTTAAAGGATTTGAACTACTTGTTTTCTTTAGCATGAACTATTTATAGAATTTTGAAGTAGCATTTGCGGAGACAAAGCTTTATTTTCATTGGGCATGCCAAGCAGTTAAAAAAATTTATTATTAGCTAATGATCAGCTAGTCATGAAATATTCTGAAACTCAAACAGGATTCTTTAATATTCCTGCACCTTTTGAGTATCCCTGTGTTACTAGTCTTTAATTATTTCAGTTACTAGGAAAGCTTCACATATTAACATGACTTATCAAAGGGTTGATGACATAGCATTTCAGAGAAAAAAAACATCTCTGTTCCTTAACTAGACTGAGGTCAGAACTAAGCACGCAAAACTGCGGACAGCTAACAATCACTGAAAAATGTATTTTAAAATTTTTTATTCACATCTGCAGTTACATCTATCAAGTGCTGTTCTGGCCATCTTTCCCCAGTATGACACAGGTAACTTCAGCCCACTAGCTGGAGAACTGACTCCTCCCGAGGACCTTACTGCTAGACAAAGCATCTGTCCACTAGAAAATGAAACACCTCCAAGGTAGCCTGCCTAAACAAGTTTAGAAATTAGGTTGACATTTCTCTATTTTATATGTACCTCAAAAAATAATAAAAAAAAACAACTTACAAGGCATAATAGATCCCTGTTAGCATTTGCACCATGAATTCAGATGAAATCGGAATCCTACTGTTGACTCCCTTGTACTTTCTCACTTGTTGGCGAGGATATCCACAGACACAAATTCTAAAAAAATCATGCATTTGTCATTAGCAAATAATGTAGAACCACCTTTGTAGTTTACATAGTTTCAATACTTCACCAGTACTGATTAGTTTTTAAAAGTCCTGATTTACTTTCTCTGAAAAGGCTAGAATGACATCAGCTTCGCAGTAAGGTAATGTTCTTATGAAAAGAAACTTAGTACTTGCCCAGATGCAAAAAATCTGGATTTACAACCAGAGATCAGCAATATTTTGTGCTGTAATTTTCACGTTTACAGCCCATGTTTTAAATAAGAAGAAATAGATAATTTTGATTCTTTAGAAAAGTCATAAAAATTCAATTAGACTTACTAGAAGAAAGCACACTCATTGTTGATCTTCAAAAAAAGCCCCTAAATTCAACTCAAACCAATTAAAGGAGTTATTTTATAGGGTCAAATAGTAGACTATTGATTCCACCACATCCAAACAGGACACTGAAAGATATTCTAAGCTTCTGAAATATGTTCACTTGAATCTCTAAAATGCTGTCAGGGTGAGATTTTCAGTAAGTAGAGAAACATGGATGACAAAACCAGTCAGGAATTAAGAACTACAAAAGAAGTCAAATTTTACAGTATTAAATAATTCAGTATCCAAACATTCAACATTTTGAAAGACTTGCATTTACTGGTAGCTTGCTTTTGGAGGCTTTAAAAAAATTATTTATTCCAAATACAATCAAAACCTAATTAACTAGAATAAGCAAGTTTCCTTTGCACAATCCTTAGCTTCTAAATATTTTCTATCTTACATTTTAGAGCAGTTTATCTAACAAAGATCTTGTAAAAACTCTTGTAAATATTTCCAAGTGCTCCCAAGTCTCTGGTCTTATCTGAAGAGAAGAACATCTTAAAGGCATCCATTGTCATATTTTGGTTGCATGAGGAACCAAGGAACTACAACTAGAAAAATGGTACTGTAGTTGACTTCTAGATCTTTTTGGTTTCCCAGAGAAGGAGACCATTCTAATTTTTCCCTTAACCTTAAGTCCCTTCAAAAATCCAGATACAGACATGTTTGCTACTAGTTCCTTCACTTTGAAAAGATAAATTGATCAAAAAAGAGACACTATAATTAAAGTTGAGGTGTTGTTTTTTTTTTTTTTTTTTAAAATTTTGGTTCAGGGTTTGGGGTTTT